TCCTCCTCCTCCTCCTCCTCCTCCTCCTCCTCCTCCTCCAGCAGAAACTATTAATGTGCTTGGCTTGGCATTAGATTAATAAAAAAAGAGAGAGAGAATGCTAGAAAAGGGAAAAGAACTTAAGAAAAAATTGAAATGGAGACATGAGAAATGCAAGAATGAAGATGATAGTTGATTAGTTGTAGTGTTTTCCCTTCCAAGGAACAGAGCATATGTTTTTAAAGGCCTTTGGAAAATACTTCCATGATGTTTGACTAAGGAAATCTAAATGCCACGGTTATGTTGAAGGCTGACATAAAGCCATCTCCAGGTGTGTAAAAATCTCCTCCACTGTGTAGTGTTTGAATTAAGGAGGTGCCGATAGGATGCTACAAGGTGCTTCACAGCAAGCATGGGCATATTACTCAAGCATGTATTTTTGCGTGGTTACTGTGCAAGCTTAGGAAGAGATGTAGCTTCTTTAAGGAAGTGCTAACTGGTATGATATCTGCAACCATTCTGAAGCATGTTTTTGGCTTCAGTTCTGAAAGACTTCACATTCCTATTGGGTACCATCAAAACACATTTTCAGTACACTACTAATTGGCTGTGTCATTGCCAGGGTCAAGGGGACAATGGAAAAATGTGCTCTCTTTTCTCATGGAAGCTGTGCTCTTCCTTCTCCTCCTCCACAGTTTCTCTTCCACTCTCAGTTTACCCACCTACAGCTCTTTCTCTCCCCAGGACCTTCTATCCATCTTCTTTCTCCACCTTATCAGACAGCAGAATTTGTGTTTTTTCTTTCTTTCTTGACATTGTTTTTAAAAGAAATTGGATGTACTGCAGTTGAGACTGGCATCTTTGTTTCTACAAAGAACCTCTAGGAGAAGGAAGAAAAGTTGAGGGACACTGAATTTGGAAGCCTCATCTGTTGTAGGACCCTGCCTTTAGACTTTCTCCTAGTATTCCATTCCTGGTCACACCAGAGCTGTTTTGGCAAATGCCAAGCAGAGAAATCAAGGCACTCCAACAATTGGAAGATGTACCAGAATACCTTTGACAACTGCATCCTAGTGATAGTTACTATAGAAACCTTAATTACCTTTATCCTCTCTTGAACCCTGATTTTCATTTATAGATTTAGACCAAAATAATTTTTATGCTGTATAGGAAGATGCGTTTTTCTTCGTTGGTTTCCAATTGCATTGTTTTACCTCATCTATAAATACAAGTAATTTAGAAAGAGAATGAGGCCTTAGAAAGTTCTCCCATGAATTTCAATGCTATTTTAAAGCTTCTTTGGGGAACTATTTCTGCTGTTGTTGCCAGGGCTTTTCTTTAGAAAATCCCTAAATGTATTTAAAAAAAAAAAAAGCAGCTTTCAGACACCTGTTAAACACGATGCAAAAGTAGCAGTATTTTTTCTAAAAAAAAGTTTTGCATGCAAATTATTTCTATTTGCTGAAATCTTCAACACATATGGCGTGTGATATAGAAGACTGGTCCCCCCCCCCCCCCCCCCCCCCGCG